CCCCGCCTCTATGTTAACATTTCAGGAGGCCTTGCAGCAGCTAACCTTGGTTTATCAACCCCCGCCCTTAGTTTCTAAAATTGATTACATACATATTTCTGAGTAACAGTTTATGCGGTCAACTCAACCCGGTCATGATATACTGTTAAGACATCTGGACATAACAGCACTGTTACAACAGAGGGACACGATTTTGGCTGAAATAACTGCACATTCTTTTTGGCTTCTAAAATTTGCTTTGCACTTAGCCCCGCCTTATAAAAACCCTACCCACCGAGTTTTGGGGGCCGTTTTTCCTTTGTCGGAGAGGCAGTCGCTGAGCTCAGCTTAATAAAATCTTCGGAACCCTAATTTGATATCCAGCCTCTTTACTGAGAATCTGGACCCAACATTTGGAGGCCCAAGTGAGATCTCTGGGATGGCCTGCGCATCGCCTATTGGCCGCCATCGGCTCCCCGCCAGGGGTGGCCACCCCGGATTTTCAGGGCCCTGGCGAGTCAATGTAGCAGAGGACCGTAAAGCACGATCCGGCCGTCCCGGTTGTTCCGGAGATTTTATTCTGAAATCCTTAGAAGGTAAGGAACCTCTATGGTTTCTGTCTGGTCTGTAGTCACGACCTGGAAGGACTCTAAGGAGCCGGACGTGGCACATACCCTTGAGTCCGGGGAATTCCTGCGATGGCAGAGAATCTCCCCCTGGTTTTGTGTGCCTCAGAGGACGCCACAACACAGGGATTTTTTGGGCCTGGTTCGGCTCTTGGAGGGGACTGTTTTCTTGTATTTGTTTAATTTGTCTTTTTGTCTGTCTCGTTGCTAATTTTGTCATCTGTCACTGGGTTGTCTGTTCCCAGTCTTTTCTCAATGGGGGCTTCTCAATCTCAACCACCCTCCCCCTCCAGTGTATTCTTGGACATTTCTGAGATGTCTACAGTAAGGAAAAGGAGGTCGATTACGGAGTCCGTTTTATGCGGGCTCACCTTCCAACTCTCTGTGAAATTGACTGGGCTTCTTTCAACATTAATTGACCATCCTCGGGAACTTTTGACTCTAACATCAGCCGAGCGGTATGGGATATTGTTCTGGGCCAGCCTGGACACCCCAACCAATTTCCATATATTGATGTATGGAAGGACTTATTAGAACATCCCCCTAAATGGGTAACTTCTTGTTCTCTTCAATGACCCTCTGTTCTCCTTGTGCGATCGATCAGTCCCTGATTAACTTCATCTACTCCCAAGGTTTCCCCTCCAGTCCTACAGGAGCCTCCTGAGGGCCCGTTGCCACCCTATCCTGCTCAAGGACCTGTTACCCTCTTATCCCTCCCAGCCACTCTATCCCGCTTTCTCTGAGACCTCCTCCGCCGGTGGACCTACTTTCTGACTCTTCCACTTCTCCCCTTTCCCCTCCCCGTATGCGTAGTGGTTCCTCCTACACTCCCTCCTCGGACCCTCAGCTGGCTGACTCCACCAGCCCTTCTACGATCCTCCCCCTCCGACAGATGCAGCTGGGCGGAGGCTTGGTTTATGTTCCTTTCACTACTACTGATCTCTATAACTGGAAACATCAGAATCCCGCTTTCTCTGAGAAGCCACAGGCACTTATTTCCCTTTTGGAGTCTGTCTTTCGGACTCATCTCCCCACTTGGGACGCCTGTCAGCAGTTGCTCCAGACTCTGTTCATTTCAAAGGAGTGTGATCGCATCCTCTAGGAGGCCCACAGAGTGGCCCTCAGACCAGTGGTCGACTCCCACGACTCTGGCAACGATGGCAGACTCCGCCGCCTGCCCCCACCCCAGAGACCAGACTGGGACCCAGCAACGGATCAAGGTAGGGGAGCCCTCGCCACCTATCACCGGTTTCTCCTGTGGGTCTCCGGGCAGCAGCAAGAAAGCCCACTAATTTGACCAAGGTCTGTGAAGTTATTCAAGCTAAAGAGGCGTCCCCCGCTGCTTTTCTCGAATGCCTCTTACAAGCTTATTGGACTTATACTCCAAATGACCCTGAGGCACTAGAAAATTCAGCCGCAATTAACTTAGCTTTTGTCTCTCAGTCGGCCCCAGATATTAGAAAAAAGCTTCAAAAACTTGAGGGATTTCAGGGCAAGGATAGGTCGGAGCTCCTGGGGATTGCTCAAAAGGTCTACGACAACCGTGACTCCCCGTAAGAGGTCGTTGCTAAATGCCTAGGGAAGGTCACCTTCGCTGCCCTAGCTGCTCTCTGCCCCGCTCCAAGCCAGGGCCCAGCCAGTAAAGACCCTCAATGTCAACCCCTAGGAAAAGACCAATACGCATATTGCAAACAATTGGGCCACTGGAAGGATAAATGCCCCAACAGGCCAGATCATCCTAAACCACCAATCCTGGCACTAGATAATAACTCCGATTGAGGGGGTCAGGGCTCGATATTTCTGAGCCTCCATGAGCCCATGGTAAACACCCAAATCGGGGGTCAATCTGTAAGGTTTCTTCTAGATATGGGAGTTGCACATTCTGTCTTAACCCAGCCACATGGACCCTTAGCTCCCACCCAAACAGCAGTTCAGGGAGCCACAGGAGCCCCTAACAAGCTCTACCCTTGGACAACGCGGAGAACTGTCAACCTGGGGAACCAGACGCTCATGTTGTCATACCTGAATGTCCCTATCCACTACTGGGCTGGGATCTCTTACAGAAATTGGGGGCACAAATTTCTTTCTCTGAAGAAACGGCTACTCTCCACCTTGGGGCCCCCACAGAAATTTTAATCACTTATCCCATTTCAGAGGAATACCTGCTCCAGCCCAGGGACAACTCAGGCCAGAGTCAGGAGAAGGAACTTTTAAGGGATTTCCAGGCCAAGTATCCCTCAGTCTGGGCAGAGACCAACCCTCCTGGGTTTACAATCCAACAAACGCCTATAATGTTTGGGCTCAAGCACACTGCAACTCCAATAGCTGTCAGACTATATCCTATCAAGCCTCAGGCACGCCAAAAAATAAGCCTACACATTAACCACCTCCTGGATGAGGGCATTCTGAAGCCCTTTACTTCACCATGGAATACTCCATTACTCCCAGTCCCAAAGGCAGACACCAGAGCCTATAGACCAGACCAGGATCTGAGGGAAATAAATAAGAGGGTGGAAACTATACACCCCACTGTACCTAACCCGTACACCTTACTCAGTCTCCTGCCATCTGAACACCAAGTCTATACTGTTTTGGACCTAAAAGACGCCCGTCTCATGCAATACCAGGCCCTCCTCCTGGACCATCCAAGACTTAAATTCAAAACCGAAACTACCCTCAATCCGGCCATGCTACTTCCAGACACAGATCTGTACCAACCTCTTCATCATTGCCTGGAGATCATCTCACAGACCAGCTTCACCCGGCCAGACCTGATGGACGTCCCTTTGCCAGACCAGATGAGACTTTCTATACTGATGGGAGCAGTTATGTCCGGGACGGGACCAGGTATGCTGGGGCAGCCATAGTCAATCAGGCCAGCAAAATACTATGGGCCCAGGCCCTACCCAGGGGGTCCTCCGCACAAAAGGCAGAGCTTATCGCTCTTACACAAGCCCTCCGGCTAGGCAGAGACAAGGCTGTTAATATCTACACGGACAGTAGATATGCGTTTGCAATGGTTCATGCCCATGGGGAAATTTATAAGAACAGAGGGCTCCTAACCTCGAAGGGTCGGACCATCAAAAACAAAGAGGAGATTTTAGCCTTACTGGAAGCTGTTTGAGAACCCAAGGCAGTCGCCATCATCCACTGCAAGGGGCATCAAAAGGACTCCAGCCCAGAGGCTATCGGAAACAGGGCAGCAGATCAAGCCGCCCGGGGTGTAGCCATAAGACCAGTGGGGCCATTGGATATCCTTAACCTAACACTTCTCCAGACTCTCCCGGAGAGCCCCACCTACTCTACTGAGGAACGCCAGGCTTTTCTAACACAGGGAGCTCAGCCCCAACGAAATGGATGGCTCCAAACTTCCGATGGGAGGCCCTATCTTCCCCAAGCATTAGGGAGGCAACTTGTAACTCAATTTCACCACCTGACTCACTTAGGGGCCCGAAAACTCAACAAACTCATCCAGAGCAGATTCAAGATCCTTAACCTCATCGCCATTGTCCAGGACATTGTATCCAGATGTATAGTCTGTGTAAAGGTCAACATAAGTCCCCATCCTCGACAAATGGGCACGAGATTTGCTGGCACCTACCCAGGCAAACATTGGGAACTTGATTTTACTGAAGTCCGTTCCAGTACGTACAGTTATAAATATCTCTTAGTTTTTATTGACTCTTTTTCAGGATGGGTAGAGAGAGGCTTACACCACCAGGACAGAAACGGCGGCCATAGTAGCCAAGAAACTACTCCAGGAGCTCGTCCCCAGATTTGGCCTCCCCCAATACCTGGGTTCCGACAACGGTCCAGCCTTTACGGCTACTATTTCTCAAATTCTGGCCAAGGCTCTTCATATTTCCTGGAAACTGCACTGTGCTGATCGGCCACAGAGTTCAGGGCAGGTAGAAAGGATGAATAGAACCCTAAAAGAAACTTTAAATTTGTACTTGAAACTGGTGCTGGGTGGCCAGACCTGCTACCCTTAGCCCTAATCCACGTACGCTGTACCCCCTACCGGGCTGGTTTCACCCTCTATGAGATTCTGTATGGTAGACCTCCCCCTCTTCTTCCACGAATTGGGGATTATGTATTGTCTGAAATATCTAACAATCACCCAATTCAGTCTCTCCAAACTTTACAGACCCTCCAGACTAAACTTCAGCCGCTCATCAAAGCTACTCGCCCTGACAACGGACCTGTCCAGCCTCACCCATTCCAGCCCAGAAACGCCGTCCTGGTCCGACAATTTCCCGCCAGGACGCTCCAGCCAACCTGGAAGGGACCGTATGTTGTCACCTTAATCACACCAACAGCATTTAAGGTCGCCGGGATTCCTGCCTGGATCCACTCCACCCAGGTTAAGCCAGCTCCACCAGTCGCCGAGAACAGATGGCGAATCCTCAGTGGGCCCAGAGATACCAAGATAAGACTGGGACAGGTCCGAGACTCTTCACCTCCCTTTTAACTGTTTATTCCTTGTTCCTTGTAACACCAACTAGGGCCCACGGACCCCACCCTCATGCTCCAGTACCTGTAAAATGGGAAATCAGAGCCACTGGAACAGGAACTATATATGCTTCTCATATCCCCTCCCCTTTCGAAACCTCTATATCGTTACAGGTTGATTTATGCAAAATCAACATCCCATTTATAACGACTTCTCACCCACAGTCATACTCCTGCAGGGGTATCACTCACGAACGAAGCCTCGAAGGGACTCAATTCTATGCTTGTCCAGCTTCGTCACCTCCCCGTTGCATATCCCCGGGCGAATATAACTGTGCTGCTTGGGGCTGTGAGACGACAGCTTCTTGGAAACAAGAAGATCCCCATATTTCCATTTCATTATCTCACAACTCATCCTGTCGATTTATTGGCACCTGCAATCCCCTTAAGATTTCCATTACTAGTCCAGGCGCCCCTTTCTGGTCCAAAGGAAAAACCTGGGGCCTTCGCCTATACCTATCTGGTCCTGATTTAGGCACTCAGATTACCATCCAGAAGAGTTTCATTTCCAGACCGCTAACCCCTATTGGCCCTAACCGAGACTTTGTCCTCCCAGCTCCAGCACTCCCCCCCAAGCCTACGGTATTCTTACCCACCTCTTCCATTCCTCTATCCCCCAGCCTCACCTCCTTTCCCATCCCATCACTTTCTATTCCTACACCCCCACCGCAGCCTCTTCTCCTTCAGATGTTAGCGACCTTTCACGCTCTCCTCAACGCTTCAAACCCAGCTGACACCGCAGACTGCTGGTTATGCTTTGACCCCAAACCTCCCTATTATATTGGTATTGGTGCTTCCAGCTCCTCTGCCTTACTTCTAGTACCTCAGGGCAACTGTTCTTGGACTTACCCTAGTCTCACCCTTAGAAATCTTCTAGGCCAAGGGACCTGCATATACAGTACTTCTTATCCTATCTCTACTTCCCCTTATGCTCCGCTTTGCAGTTCTACTATCCTTATAATTAACTCCACAATTTCTACACTTACTGGCCTCTCCACTTTCTTCCGAGCTCCGGATTATACTTGGTTCGCCTGCACGAATGGCATAACGAAATGTCTTGACTTATATTCTCTCTCTCCTTCTATCCGACCTCCCCTCTTCTGTTATCTGGTTCATATCCTGCCTCAGGTCTCATTCTACTCTGGGGAAGGTGGCCGTGAGCATCTCAGCCTCCTCCAAACTCGCTACTGCTGGGCCACTCCTATTCTCATCCCCCTCCTTGTTACTGTCAGCAGAGCAGGCTCCACAGCCATTGGCACTTCTTCCCTTGTCCTCCAGGATCAGAATTTTAAATCTTTAAGTCACCAGGTTGCTCAGGACCTCGGGTACCTAGAATATTCTGTCTCCCGCTTAGCTAACCAGGTTGACTCCCTCGCTGAGGTTGTCCTCCAAAACCGTCGTGGTCTGGACCTCCTCTTCCTAAAACAAGGGGGTCTCTGTGTAGCCCTGGGAGAAACTTGTTGTTTCTATGCCAACCAATCTGGGATTATCCATAACACCCTTGGTTCAGGACAATCTTAAAGATAAATGCTTTACCCAGTCCAATAACCAAAACTGGTACCAGTCCCTTGTTAACCGGTCCCCTTGGCTTACAACTCTACTCTCTGCCCTTGCTGGACCGCTCATCCTCTTATGTTTAGGGCTTCTCGTCGGCCCATGTCTTATCAACTCCCTAACCGGGTACATCCGATGACAGGTCGGTTCCCTCAAGCTCATGGTCCTTCGTCAACGCTCTACTCCCCTTAACAATCCTGCCCATGAATCCATGATTTGATTCACTTTCATAAGACCAGTGGGGAATGAAAGGCTAGAGAAAAACATTCTTCAGTTCCCCCTTACTCCCCTGCCTCTATGTTAACCTTTCAGGAGGCCTTGCAGCAGCTAACCTTGGTTTCTCAACCCCCACCCTTAGTTTCTAAAATTGATTACATACATATTTCCGAGTAACAGTTTATGCGGTCAACTCAACCTGGTCATGATATACTGTTAAGACATCTGGACATAACAGCACTGTTACAACAGAGGGATACGGTTTTGGCTGAAATAACTGCACATTCTTTTTGGCTTCTGTAATTTGCTTTGCACTTAGCCCCGCCTTATAAGAACCCTACCCACCGAGTCTTCTGGGCTGTTTTTCCTTTGTCTGAGAGGCAGTCGCTGAGCTCAGCTTAATAAAATCTTCGGAACCCTAATTTGATATCCAGCCTCTTTATTGAAAATCCGGACCCAACATACTCAGATATAATGATATAGAGAGATAGTATTTCATTTTGTTCTTTGGGGACATTTAGAGGGTTTTGAAATTTGTCCTAAGTAATTTTTCCCCTTTGGTTTCTTTTTACTCCCAGGATCAAAGTATGTTATTAATACCCAGAACCACCAATGTGGCATCGTGCTCTCATGCATATTTTAATGTGGACTTGCTGGATTTGATAATTTAAAATGAAAAACATAATACTGTAGTGGTAGCAATTGTATGAGAAAAAAAAAATCTCAGACAAAAATATTTTTATGCTCCAGAAATTATGTACTTTCAGTGACTGCCTCTTAATCTCATATGTCAAGAGATATGCTTCTTGTGTACCATATATATATATATATATATATATATATATATATATATATATGAAAATACTGCTTCACAAATTCCCCCAGCTTTTATTTTATTACGAATGAATAGTAACTGCTATTTCTTTGTTGGGGAACCTATACATTAGCTTTCCCACTATGCTAATTCTTGGTTTATTGTATGGAAAACTTATGGTTCTTTTGGATCCCTGCTGTTAGATTTATAGTGATGTTCAATTGACATGAGAGACATCTAAAAGGCATGGGCATAAAATCATCTGAAGTTATTTGGATTTGGTTTAGTTCATATGCATTGACACGGCAATCCACTGTCTGAACTATTTCTAGATCAACTTTTACTTTTAATAACCTCATAGGCATTTTCAGTTTTCACTGGAAAAAGATTAAAATGATATATTGTATTTTCCAATGCCATACTGTGGACTATTCAGGATCTACTCAGAGGGAAAAACATTTGATATTACAAATCCTTGGAAAATAAAGCATTATACATGCTTATTTAATTTGAAACCTCAATTAGACCCACCTGTTATCACTTTAGATAAATGTTATTTACATTGAAAATCAGAACTTTTAGAAAAGTTGCACAAGGTCAAATAATGGGGAATATTTGTTCAGATGAGAAGGAAAAATTATCCACTTCTTTAGAAATCCAAAGTAAAATGTACTGTTGCGTCCCGCACGATAAGAGCAGTGGGAAACGACAAGCAGCGATGAAGGGTTAAGAAAGAGATAGTAGCCAAGAGTTAAATGCAAGCGGGCCAGGGGACTCAAGTCTCTCTAAGACAAATCGGGCCAACGCGTAGCTTTTGTTGATACCTCAACCAGGAAGTGGGATTGTTTTTTCCAAGGTCTATGACTCTCATGGCTGAGAACTTGCTTAAGTGGGATTACCCATGCCTGCAGGCTGCCATTACCGAAGGTCCCATTGTGTTCCAACAAAAAGAATGCTACCACTTTGCGTGCGTGCGTGCATACACATGCACACACTCATGCACGACCCCGAGAGGTAAAGTCATTATGCTAAAAACTCACTAATAAGGATTTATCTCTAAACCTACTGATGAAGGGATTGGGAGTCAACTGATATTATTCCATGGGGTCCCAGCTTTCCGGGACACCCCCTGAGGAAGCTTTACAGGAATCATTCCTCCCGGTCTCATGGAGTTTGAGACACCTCTCTTTTAGGAATTGGCATGAGGGAACAGACCGCTGGGCAGCTCAGTGGCAACAATGTAATATTAAATCTAATGGAAAATTCATCTTAATAATTTCCTCTCATGAAAGCTCAATTGAAAATATTGTGATTTTGAAATATGTCTTGTGCATTTGATGATTTTAATCATTATCTAAAATGTATTTATTCTATAACTACATAAAGAAATGAAAGAGATAAAAGCCTAAGTTGATCAAAGTAAAGGGGTTCTTTCTCATTTTTACTGTGTTTCTGCCATTATCAGTACTATTAGTCTTCCTAAATGAATAATTATGTTTGGAGCCAGAGGCCTGAGAACAATTAAAACATATCAACATGGTGTTTCCAGAAGACATTTGCTGCCTTTAATAATGTAATTATATTTATAATCCCCATCTGCCCATGCCTACTCTGTATTTGCTAGACCTTTCCCTAGAGTTTCTCAAAACACTATTCTCATTGAGCATATTTATATGGTAACTAGACTAGATAATTCTATTATAATAATTAGGGTTAAGTGGGGGAGGTTGGTAACTGAAAAAAATGCCATTGTTAGTATTCAGTAATGTTTCTGCAAAGGAGTATGTTTTCAAAATCTTGCCAAACTTTGGTTTTTTGGATTGATCGCAATAAAATGTGATTTTGGAATTATTTTAGAAACAGTATTTTAGAAGCTAGTATTTTATAGACAAGCAGTAACTTTATATACTACTAGAGAAAACTTTTTTCGAGATAGTCTATTTTCCATCAGCTGTAAGTTATTTCTAAAAGTAAATTTCATTATATGACTCCAATAATAGTGCTGATCAATTGTTCTAATGCTATGAAAGCTGCTTGGCATAGCACTTAATTTTTTTTTTTTTTACCTTTTCTCTGCTTAGAAATTTCCATAAAATCATAACATATTTTCAATCAATAAAATTGAAAGTGTGTTGGTAATTTTGTAATCAAATTCAGAATACAGACTTTAATTTACTCTAAATGAAGAGTTTTGGTTCATAATTGAATGTCCAAAATATATTCTGACTTACTCGTTAGGAAAAAAAATGTAAATTTGTGTAGGGGTGAAGGTGCCATCTGAAGCTTTGCTATCAGTGTTTTTCTGCTATGTAGTGGTACCTGAATCCTTAAGTTTTATCATCATCTATTATCATGTCCCTTATTCCATCAAAACTTGCATCTATAATATAACAGCAAACCAGAAATGGCAGGCAATGGACAAAGTTCTTATTGAATAAAGTAATGGATAAATGATAGATCCTGATAATCTCATGTGAATACCCTAAATTTGAATTCGAATCAATGTATCTCTTCTGATGTTGATGCTAGTATTTTAAATGTCATTTCTAATTTTAGACATTGTATGTGCTGATAAAATAATTTTGAGTAGTGAAAACAAGGAGAAAAGTGTTTAGTAGAATAGAGGTCTTTCTTAGGATTCTTGCAGGCAGTAGGTTATGGGACACAGTGTAAGTCCAGATTATAAATTCCTCACACGGCAATATTTAAGGAAATTATTGTGTTTAAGATACTTAATCTCTGTGATCTTGAGTTTCTTTATTTATAATATACTATTAAGCCACTCAGGAATTTTATGAAGACTAAATAATAGTTGAAAAATATCTACAAGTCTGAATGATAGAAGCACTTAATAAATGCAAGTTTTCTTACCTTGAAGTTATATCACATTAGTGATCACCATCTCAACCAACATGTATGATCGTTCTTACCAAGTGGATAATGGGTAAAAAATGAAAATGATGTTATATTATTTGTTATTTTTAATTCTATAGTGAGCTTTTTTAAATGATTGATTCCCCCATGTCCTTTAATTCATACTGGTGAAGCTCTGACCATCATATTATTAGAGCAAACACTTGTTAATGGGACAGTATAATTTATCATATAGTAGAAGTTCTTAAACCCTTCTAAATTGGTGATCATTACAACAATAATTTTCATTATGGCTACTTTAAAATATGTTTCATGTGGATATATAAAAGTCCATGCTTATTGAGCTAAATTACATCAACTCAATGTAAATTCCAGGTTTGGTCATTACTTAGGAAAGGGATCTGGAAGATTTATACTTTGATTTTGAAAGATACCAAAACCTTTTCCAACCATAAGCCAAAGAGTCACATAATATTTCACATAAAATCATTAAATATGGTATTGTAAACCAATCAGACAACAGAAAATATGCTAATAAAATGCACATTATACAAAAACAGCAGCATAGGAAAGGAAGATGATTTCCATTTATGATTTCTTCAATGATAACAAAATAAACTAAGATGCGTTTACCAAATTCTAAAGTACTTTGTTGAGTAGACACCTTATGAAAGTTTGGGCTCTGACGAGTGAGCACAAGAAGACAGAATTTGGAGGAGAATTAAAACTTTGAAGAACCATCTAGCGTGGATTGAGATTCTCACTGTCATGGTTCTATCCTAAAGAGCAACTAAAGTTACAGCACAGCCAGGGCACCTAAACCTCAAATTAAAAAAACAAAAGAAAACACACAAAAAAAACAAATAGATAAACAAAAAAACACCACCTGATGACCTGGAAAACATTGTCTGTCACACCTTGCTTCGAATACAGACACAAGGAAGTGATGAGATTATCAACCATGCCAAGTCTCTAGCTTGTCGTTGAACTGTACGTAGTAGTTGTGTAAAAATAGCAGTTGAATAACTTAATAAATATGATTATTATGTTGTGGTAAAATCAA